TTTTAATAGAAATGGCACCAAGAGATAAAGTTGTTAAATATTTTAGGACTTCTCAAATTGTTTTAATTTTTCAATTTTTGTTTTTAATAAAAACAACTGTTTATTGTAAAAAAAAAAGGAAAAAAAACTCTGAAGGAGCACATGTTTAGAAGAGTGAAAAGTTAGCTCTTCTTTCTATTTCTCTGCTTTCGTTTTTCTTCAATTTTACATAAAAAAGCAGGGCTAACCATTCAGGGGATGCATTTTTGGTTTATTTTATGTAGAGAATGTACAAAAATATATTTCAGATCATTTTAAACATAAAAGAATCACACTAGCCCTTTTGACTTGTCATTATGTGAATGTATACATTGTGGGATTTGTCGTGTGAACACTTAAGGCCACCTCAGCTTTCATCATGCTTTCGCCAAATTCCATATGCTATGCCATTTCCCTGATGGAGCATAATCTGATTATTTAAAATATTTTATATTCATATTGCTGTCCAGATTGACCTTTCAGGAAATGAGTGTGTATATTTGTGTGCTTGTTTTATTTTTACTGACATAGCTGAATAAAGCCACGAAGTCAATGGTTGTGTGCATGAGGTGCATACCCGTATGTCTTAAATTTTCTGTTTTTCCAAGTTATCCTTCATTAACATTATAACACCCGCTCATGATCAACAAAGTGGACCAAATAACGTGGTCCATTGGTTAAAATGATGGACCACGTAGCTTATGAGGTTATTAACATAATAATGCTCTATTTAATTTGAGAGTGAGAGAGAAATGTTTGCATGTTTCCTAGGCTACTGATCTCTTAGGCTCTTCTATCTTCTGGTGCATGGATTTCTACTAATTAGCTGTTCAGCTATAGCTAATGGGAAGAAGAGAAAGGATGATTCCTGAGAGGAGATAGATATGATCCTGTCCCTTGAAAGGTGTGAAAGATTTTAATTCTAATATTTTTTTTTCCTTCACAGTACATAGAAAATCCTTGATGGTTTCAAGATGAAGAAGTTACAGATTCAATAAGTGCCTCTCAAAATAGAATCCTATCATTTAGAATCCCACCAGACTTAACTGATCTGACAAATAAAGATTTTATCTCTATTCCATGTGAATGAGTCTCTTTGATGAGTAAAAGCTCAGTCAAAGCTAATTGGTGATGAATACATTGCTGATCCTGCTGGCAAGGAGGCTGGGAAGGCTTCTATAGGGAAGAGTTTGCATTCAAACCAAGATCTTAGGGCAATGAGATAGCTTAGCAGACTAAGCATCTGCTTAGGCAAGCACAGAGACAGGGGTTTGATCCCTGGTACCACTTGCTATGCTGGCCCTGCTGCTGGGCATGCTGAGCCGGTGACAGAGTCTTGGTGTGGTGCTGTTTACCTGTAATCCCAAAACTGTGGAGGCTGAAAACAGGAGGATCACTATGAATTTGAGCTGTGTAGTGAGACCCTGCACAAAACAAACAAACAAACAAAAAAACCCAAGATCTTGATGAAGTGATGTTTATATCTCCTTTGGCAAGAGAGCTAAAGTTTTAGGGAACTCAAATCTTTTCCTAATGTAAAGCCCAACAATTTTAAGATCATAAATGAGGCTAAAAATTATTAAAGTGTCTTTCAGTAAGGGGGCCCACCTGCTAGTTTACAGCCCTAGAGCTTGATCAATCCATGTTCCTAAAACAAAGAGGACATAAGCAAACCTTGGATGGGGTCCTGCTACTTGGAAAACAACTAAAACAACTGAGTCAGCCAAGAAGTTGCCCTTGGCCCTCCCCTTGTTTGAATTCTTACAAGAGACATATATTCCCAAAACCCAAGGCCTCACTATTGAAAGCCATAACAACAGGATGTCCCAGGTCACAATGCCTCGATTTCTTAAAAATGTTCCCGGAACATGACAACCACAAGGTTAGACCCCCCAGCTACCCCCGGACTTACTCCATTTGGTCATACGGTATTGTAACTCACCAATTATTGTAAAGGGCAACCTACACTAACCAATGCGATTTGCTTCTGTAACTTGCTTGCTCCCCCCCCCCCATTTTGTGGTTTTTGCCTTTAAAAAACTATGCCTGTTACACAGAAGGAGAGCTCTGCTCCTGCGTGTGCAGACCGCCCTATGTACATGTAGATAATAAAACTTCCCCTTTGTGATTTGCATGAGAGACCGACTCTTGGGGTCTTCCTTCGCGGCGACTCGACCCTTACACTAACATGATTTTAAGCTTTAGACATCATCACAAATGTAGATTTTTTAAATTTTTGAGATGAAATTTACATGAGATGCAACTAATCATCTTAAATTGAAAAATTCAGCGGCAGTAATACAGTCATGGTGTGCAACTTTCAGCCCTACCAAATTCCAAGACATTTTCATCACCCTGTAAAGAATCCCAATGTGTCCATTAAGTCCCACTTCCCATCCTTTCCTTTCCTTGCTCCTGCCTTCAGAAACCATAAAAATGCTTTCCATCTTGATATATTTGTCAATCTGCACACTTCATGTTGATGGAATCATATGCGACGTGACCTTTGTGCTTAATTTTTTCCACTCAATCTAGTATTTTTGAGATTCATCCACATGGCATCCTGTGTCAAGATTTTTTTCTTTATGCTACACAATATACTATGAAATATGTACTTTATGGTTTAAAACATATATTTTTGAATTGTATGTGTCAGTTGTGTAGAGGTAGGCCAATTTTGGTAAACTAAATACTCCATGTAATTGATAACCACATCAAGAAAGAAATCAAAGGCTGGGGTTAGAGTTTAGTGGTAGAGAAAGTGTTTAGTGTGCAAGAGTCTCTGTAGTCAATGCCCAATATCAACCAGAAAAGCAGAGAAACATCATATTTACTCCTCTTTAAGCCCCATTGCACCATTTGTTACCACTCTCTAATTTCTGACAGTGTAGGCTCACTTTGTCTCTCTTTGTATTTCATGTAAATTGAATCATACCTTCATGCCTGGCTTGTTGCCCTAATGTGTATGGGATTGTATGGGATTCATTCATGTTGTCATATGTACATGTAGACCTTTTATTTTCATTGGCACATAATTTCTGCTGATGAATGGATCATGATTGTTTATGTTTCACAAAGAGGGTCACTGATAGTTTTGACAGGTCAGAATGTGAATATATCTTTTTGAGGATCAGAACACAATTCATTAAAAGTACGTACATTGGGAAGACATTGCTCAACTTTCAACCCCAGCTTTGCTACTTAGCACTGAGAAGGTTCACTAGATTGCCCCTTCACTCTGAGGGAGCCCTTGTTTTCCAACTGTAAAGTGGAAGTAATAATGAGTGATAATAAACTTTATAAAACAAAAAGTATTGACCATATTTTTCCCCCTTGTACTAAGTTTATACATGTGACCCTGACTGGTTGTTTGATTCTCATCTTGGATGTGGTCTATTTGGATTTCAAGTTGTTTCACCTGAAGTAGGCATTATCTTCTGCGATGTAGCAAATCGTCAGTCCTCTCTACCATCAGTTCACTGCAGAATTGAGCAAATCATGTTAAATAGCCTTTGGTCAAACACACCTGAGATTCTGTAACTGGGATCCCACTTACTTTTTTCTTACTCAAGGACCACAATTGTTTCTCTTCTGCTGAGTTGGCCCTGAGGAATATCAAGACTGGTGGATCTCTAAGAGGACCAGCAACAAAAGTACTGGCAGTTTGTTGAAAATACAAACTTTAGAAACTCTACCTGGACATTATGAGCCAGAGATTTCATGATGGCAGCCCAGGAACCTGTTTCCATGAACCTGAAAACTGAAGCACACTAAAGATGAAGAGTGACAGGTCTAGACAGGGTGAGAGTGTGGCTCTTGACCGTAAACTCTTGGGAAGGATAAACAGGAGGTCCTGGGCTTGAATTCAACACATCAAGATTAATGAGTAAATAAGCCCCTAAAGCTACCCAGTGAGATGCTTTTCATGTCGACTAAAGGGGAAGTCCACCACACAGCCAGAAAAGTTGCTACCACCTGAGACAGACTACAGATCCATTCATGGCAGACATGGAAGTCCCAGTCATAAATCAGACAACTTTACTGAAGAGCCAAGACTATTTGTTGGGGCCACTGTATTTTCAGCAGTCACAGGAACCTGTGGTAAATTACCAGATAGAGCATAGGCATTTATAATAATATTAAGAATCTCAGGCTGGGGAGAAAGTTCGATGGTCTAAGTGCCTGCCTGCCAAACGCAAGGACCAGAGTTCAATCCCTGGTACTTCATGCCATGCTGGCTGTAGAACCCTGAGCATGCTGTGCTGGCCCTGAAACTGGGCATGGTGGAGCACACTTGTAATCCCAGTGCTGGGGAGGCTGAGGCAGGAGGTCATTATGAGTCCAAGCTGCACAGCAAGACCCTGTATCAATAAATAATAATAATAAAAAGAAAATATTAAGAATCTGTATTACTTTAATCTCCAAAAGTTCTCCAAATTTATCTCAAAAGTTTAAATTGGATTGTAGTACATATCTCACTACAAAAAGTGTGGCTATCTTAAAAACATTGCATTTTCCAATTCATGCATAATGAATATGTTTCTGTTTCTCTGAAGGTTCTTTAATTTACTTCAATAATGTTTTGTAGTTTTCAATTTACCAGACTTGTACTCACTTGGTTAAATGTATTCTTTTTAATGGTATTGTAAATATAATCCAGGCTGCTGTAAATTGCAGTTGATCACCCTAGGGTTTTGTACTGACTTCGTTAGAATCTCACCAGCCCTATCTCAGGACAGTTTGTGGTACTGCGTTAATGAAACACTGTGGGGACTGCAGTGGTACATTTGTATAGTCTAGCAGTGAAATAGGATGCAATGAGTAAATAATGTCCAATGCAGAAAGAGACTTTGTGTCACCAGATGTAACCATGGTCCATGATAGTGTTTGGACATCAGTGTCACCAGGGCATCAATGTGCTCAGAGCAAAGAGGCACATAGATTTATTTAGAGATAGATTTAGTTAATAGATCAAAGACTTGAGAGCCACTGAGAGGTAAGTTTTCAGCCAAGATTATAAACTTGGTATCACTGGAAATAATTATGTCTGACCATAGAGATGGACTGCAGTGTCACCAAGAGATAGCTGTCATCCAGTGAGAGCTGAAGGCTGGCATCACCCAGAGATGAAAGTGATCCACTGCCCTGTGTGCATTTAAGTTCAGTGAAGAACACGGATTCTAGTGACATCCGCATAATCTACTAAAAAGCATGATTTCAGGTCACAACAAGTGGTAACTGTGGTCCAGTACGGAGGAGTGGTAGAGAGAGGCTGTGTGTTGCTCAGATTTTGGACACTGAATGAGTCTGATAAAGTCCACCATTTCATCTAGCATCTCAGCCTTCACATGGCATCGAATGTACATAGTTTTCTCACTGAATGCTATGATTTGTGGAATAACTGAACAGATGGTATATGAAAGTGTTGAAAATATATCTAACGATGAGGAGCTAGATGCATCTGAGTGAATGAAGCCCAGAGCACTCCTGAGCCTGCAGCAGGACGGCTGAGTGTCTTGTGTCCTAATGGTGTAGCACCCCTAGGCAAGAGCTGAGGACCTGGTTTCGGAGCCAAACTCTGGAGCTACATGACATCTGCCCATGCATGAGGCCAGGTGCCCTGTACCTCTCTTGCAGAGTTCTGTCTACACTGGTTGCTGGGAAGCCTGGCAAACACGCTTGAAGGCTCGAGATCTTCCCATCGATTCAGTATTCATTTCCCTGCAGATCAATGATGGACATTCTTGTCTGACCATGAGGATTTTCCATTTTGTGCCTTTAAAAAATCAGTCTTTGCCTGATTTATTCCAAGAGTATAAATATTACCAACAACTATGTTCTAAGAAAGAAAAGCATTTTGAGCAAATTATATAGAAAGTATTGTTCTGAAAATAAAATGTTTCTCTGTGGAAATACATGTGATATTGGTATAAAATTATTGCATAAAATAAATTTTATGGCTATTAGTACAGATCAAAAAAAAAGAAAATATATCTAAGACATGTCAACTTTCCATAATAATTGCCATTTAGCAATGTAACTATAATTACAATCACACCTGAGAATCAGCAATACTAAAGA